CGAGCAGGCGATCCAGCCTACGAAAGCGAGCTAGTCTGCTGGATGCCGGGGACCCGATGATTCTTAGCGAAAATCGCCGGGACTCTACAGGACCCGCACAGCCTACGTCCGGGCGGTCCAAGACAGACCGCTTGAGAGTCGAAAGGGAACCGAGACGGAGCGCCATTTTCCTACCCGCCGAGGGCATCTTCCGGACCGTGTCACAGGCCGAGGCTGAAGCCATGGGGGTCAAGTCGGTGGGGTCATCAGTTGATGCACGCACCGAGTCGGCACCAAGCTTACCGATCACCCCAACCGACGGTGACCCGATGTATCGCCGCACACCGTCGGTCGATCCTCCAGACTTTGCCGTGCCGCCGAAAGAGCGGACATCTCTACTGTCCTTACTTAATGCACCACACCGGCAAGACCCCGAGACAGTCGTCAACATTCCCACAACTCCGGGCCCAGAACCTGAGGTACGCCAGCTTGAGCCCGAGGAGACGTCTGCGTTGCCACCAACAGTTGAGCCTCCTCACCTCCCTACTCGCGAAATATCGATCCCTCCGACGGAACCGACCTCCTCCCTCACAGCCCCGCTTACAGACCCTTTACCGTCCACTAACACAGACACGACGATGTCTACCATGCCCTACACCCGTCCGCACACCACCACATCCTACTACCAACCATCAACAACCACAGTCACCACTACAAAAGTGCCCCTCCGCGAGGAACCCCAGGACGGTCCCACCCTGGCCCAGCGCCTTCTCAAAATGCAGCGCACCCCCTCGCGGCAAGCCGGCGAGGTCGTGGAGCCCGACAAGCCCAGCTTCGACGTGACCAACCCCGCGTTGACGCCGACCATGACGCGGGAGCAAGCCTTGGCGCAGATAAGGGAGCGGAGGGGCCGGGCTCGGAGTGTCGGGCGCGTGCAGCCGCAGGGTACTACTGCTGCCAGTGCTGGTAGCACCGGGAGTGGAGCGGAGGTCCGGAGGAAGGTCAGTGGTACTAGTACTAGTGCTAGTGGCGATGTACCGCTGCCGAGGAGAAAGGCTAGCGGGGAGCTGGTGGGTGGGCGCAGGATATACGGCGGTGGTGGCGAGGATAGGGATAGAGGCAGGGAGAGGGATCGGCGGGACGTGAGTGCGCCTAACGCTGGTGGGGCGGCGAAGCGTGCCGTGTCGAACGTCAGACGCGTGAAGTCTTAGGTGGGATTAGTGTTGGGCGGTTTGGATCAGGACTTGGCGGTTGGTGTGGAAGTGGTGTTGGGTTGAGTTGATTCTTGTTCACACGGAGGCATGCTGGATGAGACATTGTGTACTGTTTGCCTTTTCTTTGTTCATTATTCAGGGTTTTAGAGCCAGGTGGCTCTTTGTCAGGTTACTTAAGGATACGGGATTTGTTTAGTAGGCCGGGGCACAGAGCATTCATAATGGCGTTGGTCCGCGTGGAAAGGCTGGGTTAGCTGCTGGATTGGATCGGAACTGGTTAAACCCTATTCGTTTTGTGCTGAATACCATTACCAAAGTGCTGCCATGTGGTCAAACCTCGCCTGGCCATTAACTATGATCACCTTAATCTCCCTTGTTTTGGGTATCATGTCTAATGGACTGGCATGTATCGGTCTTTTCCACTTAGTTTTCTATTGGAATGTCTGAACCTTCAGCATATCGGTGAGGCCACTAGGTAGAGCCGTGTAATCTTTGATGAGCGGAATCAGATTTGTATTCTGAGCAACATTCTGCTTCAGTACAATGGCGTTTCGAGCACTGGCGGGGAGGCCTTACTAGCTAGGGATTGAAATTGAATTAATCTTTGGGTAGTTAAGTATCATATTTTCCTCGTTTGCTGATTATTTGGATACCAGCTCTTGATGCTGTGCCGGGGGTCTTTGCATCAGTGTCTAGATACTACCTAAGTGGTCTTTTGCGGCTCTTAATGGGGATAATTGTAGTTAGTACGAAGACGAAACAATTTCCCCCTTATTTCGAGGGGACAATTCCTGTCCTTTGTCACTGAATCAAGAGAATTAACTCTTACTAGTATCTTCGAATGATAGTGGTTTCCGCACCCGAACCTTAATACGTGCCTACCTAGTACTCCCTGATTGTAGAGTGTAGTTGCTTCGTGACGTTGCCAGGTACTCAATTTGATTCATGTAACAACTCATAATATCAGAACCAAGCGTCAATACCAGTCCTCATATGCCCTCACCAGTCGTAACGAGTCTCAATCTGCGACTTCCTCCTCATGTACAAGTCCATACCGGTTTTCTTCCTCTTCATTATGTGCCCTTGGAACCACTTCCCGACCCGTTTGATAAAAAAGAGCCCTTCACCTTTCCTTGATCTGGCTGTGCATTCGCAAAAGCTACGGATTGTCTCCTGCGCTTGCTGCTCAAGTTTCTCTCCTCGGCTCTCTGCTCCCTGTGTGTCCGGGGAGAGGAAGATCCGGACGTCGACATGGCCGTCTGCACTTCCTCCTCCGCCGCTGCCTTCGTCAGGGATAGTGGTAAACAAAACCCTTCAGCAAGGGTCTGACCGTCGTAGGAGAGATTGAGAAACGCCGGCCAGACGGCAGGGCCGTCGGTGACGTCGGCGGCCGTGTCCAAGTGGGGCTGTGCCGCTGCGGCTGGGGAGCTCTTGGATTGTCCCTGGGATGACGCGGCACTTTTCATCTGGGCCGATGCGATCCCGTTCGCTCGCTGGCTAGGCGCCGGCGCCGGCGATGTAGGTAGATCGTCGAATGAGAGCGAGTTCCACCTATACTTCCGTTTAGACTGCCTATTGAACCCGAGCTCGGGCACAACCAGGTCCTCAAGGGTTTGGATTGACTCCCACTCCTTGCATGCCATTCTGCAGAGAAGGTGCAAGCCTGCTTGAAACTCCTTTCTCTTGTCTTCCGGAACCACGGGCGAGAGCAGGTCAAAGACACTCTTGGCGGCGGCCTCGTTGACGGACCCATCCGGAATGCCAATTATGCTGCTCACCTTGAGCAAGACCGCTCTCAGGTGAGATTCCAAATCTGGCTCCTTTTTGGCGAGAATCTTTAGAACGCTGTCGATGCCAGAGCAGTCTTTGAGATATGTGGACTGGAATATGTGCTTGCACAGCTCCTGTCCCATGAGTGAAAGCACGAGTGCCATCCGCATTTGTTTGGCGAGTCGGGAGTTCGATCGAGGCAGAGGGATGTTTGAGTTGTGTGAACTGATCGCGTTCCATTGATCCTGGTTCGCAAGGATGTCCTCTGGCAAGTTGATTCTGAAATACGTCTCTGCCAGGCTGCGGGCCGAATTGAAGATGGCATTGAGTGCTTTCCTTCTTTCCGCCGTGATTTGTCAGTATTCAGGTTTGAAGTCGGCATGGACCTTACTAGGGGGCTGCCGGGAAGGGTAAAAGGAGGGTGCTTTACATTTCGTTCTCGTTCTCCTCCACTGCCTTTAGCGCAACGGCGAAGTCATCAAGTCTCTGCAGCTCCTTTTCCTTTTCCCTCAATTCAGCCTCAATGCCTTGTCGTTCCTCCTCGAACTTGGACTTCAGTACACCCTGCTCTTTCTCGTTTGCCGCCAGCTTCTCCTTCGCTGTCGCCAGCTGCATGGCCAGTGCCTCCTTCTGCTTGACAACAGCATTCAGTTTGTTGCTGGTTTCATTCAACCTAGTTTCTGTCTCGTCGACACTCCCTTGAAGGCTGGAAATCTGCTTGGCTAAACTAGAACGGAGGTTTCCATTCTCTTTCCTGAGCTCGGCATTCTGGTGGGCGATGTCAATGAATGATTTGACGGAGGGATTGGCTGATAGATTCCGGAGCAGAATCTCGACGGTGGCTGCCTGTGCGTTGATGTCCGCGGAAGACATGTCTGAGAGTCAAACTGAGCGACTGAGTACCTTACGTGCCTGGAGTGAAGTTCTGGTGTTGGCGATGAAAGCCTGCCTAAACGTTGACCTGGGAGAGCAGGTAGCTGACCCCCTTTTACCGTTCATATCTCTTCGTCTGCCTCCCCTCCATCATGGAGACCGGCCTGCAGGCCTCGTGCGATATCATATCCAACAATGGCTTTGTGTTTCAGCAGCCAAGGCAGAAGCCCGGCCCCGGCGGGCCGTTGCCGTCGTCCAGTCATGGACGGGTGTTACCTGCACTTGGCCTCAGTGCAGTGATTGGATAGCAGAACCGTGATATCATTGGAGTTGAGACTGCACTTCATCACTTGCAACCCTCGGGGCTCCCGGTCCAGATGGTCTACCGATTCCCGTATCTTGCCAGTAACATGTGCGGGGCATCCTCCATCTCGATGCAAAGAGCAGGTTCAACATGTGCTGCTCCCAATCAGACTATGCAACGTTTCCAGGCCGACGGCCGATCCCGCAGCCGGGGTCAGACAGCAGCAATCGAGATGGGCCGACTGCAGCCTTCCGCTGACAACCTAGCAGACTGATATAGAGTATCTAGACATATGAGCAATCACTGCTGCGTCATGGTGCCATTCAGAATGGACATGTGCCGGGCATCCTGTATGCAGCAGACCGAGCCCGGTCCTCTGCCCTGCGACTGCCGATGCTCTCGGTACCGTTCAATCTCGTGAAACTGGAAAACTCCTTAGCCTATTAGGGACTAGTGCCGCACGGACGTCCACCAATTGAAGCCCTCAGCAAAGCAAGGGTTTGCTGCAGTTAAGCCACACTTAGCCACATCTTCTATTGCAACACGATGCTTCCTCAGTCAATCCTCGCCAGCATTGCTGACGAGAATGGGCCGGAACAAGGTGATCAGGGGCAGCACTGAGGATCAGATTCGCATACAAATTCGGCTGTGGCTGGGATCCACCTACTGCATGGCTTCGATTGGTGGGTGTCCTCAAGGCACTAGGCCTAAATAGGCTAAGGGGTTTTCCAGTTTTGCGAGATTGTACATCCGTACGGTATTTGCTCCCATCGTCGATGATGTTATGGATGGGCGTCTCGGCCAGGATGCTTAATTCTCAACCATCTGTAGGTCTGCAAAGATCGAAAACACTACCCCAAGCGCGGTTAGTTCAGTGGTTAGAATTCTCGCTTCCCATCTCATCTTGGAATAGCGAGGGACCCGAGTTCGAATCTCGGATCGCGCAAATCATCGCTCTTTTTTCTGCGTTTTGGAGCTCTAAGCTCAGATGATGAAGAGGGCTTTTCTCCACGGAGAGCAAAAGGCCCAGGAAGAACACAACTGAGTCAATGGAGGTCTAGTGAAGGAGCTTGGGGCAGCCACGACTCCAGGATTATACCGAACAACCAACAGCGAATTTACTGCCCTCAGAACACTCTTTTCAGTAGCTAGCGGACTCTTCAAGTTGGCTTCGACAATGTTTTGGTGCGTGGCGTGTCCTTGAAGACGAGGGATGTGAAGGTGTGGCCCGAGCGCCGCATAACACGACGGGATCGAGAAACGACGCTCGAGCCACTCATCGCGACTCACCTGCTTACTGGGGCTTTCACGCACTGGTCAAGTTTCATGGCAAGAGTGCATTAGAGGTAAATACAGCGGCAATGATTTGAACTGTGACTCGAATCATCTGCGACAGACCTGGCCCAAAGCTCATTCTACCTTAGGATGTTTGGCGTTGAAGCTGCCCACGCACAATGGCCAACTTGGACAGCGACCTCGGCGCGCGCTCAGCAACCGCAGGCCTTGACGCCGTCGATCCGGACTCGATGAAGGCCTCCCACCACATTCCCAAGATCCTTCCACACGAGCGCGTCTTTCCGATCCAGATCGGCTCAGAGTTGTTCAAGCTTTCTGGCGCATCGATATCGTCTGACGGTGCGTGTTCCCTTAGTCGTTGGATTGGGCGCTTGCTGTCTGAGAGCCTCGAATGGTCAAGGCTCGTCGCATAGATAGTCGACTGACACGCGTAGCACCCTCGTACTTCTCCCAGTACTTCAAGTGTCAGATCAAGCGGGCCGAGGAAACCGGTCAAGACCTCGGCTCCGCCATCCGCACCCTTTATATCGACCGTGACCCGGTTACCTTCAGAGACATCTCACTGCATCTCCAGGGGTACCATGTCCAACCGCGCGACTCAACGCACTTTGTGCGCCTATTTGCCGATGCCCAGTTCTACCACCGTGAGACTTACTCGCCCGTTTCCCGCCTGCGTGCCTCCTAGGCAGTTTCCCCTCCCATGCTACCTCACCTCGCCATCTCTTACTCGACTTGCCCTCGAGTCTAACCATGCCACCTCACTGCAGTCCCCAAGTTAATCTCCCAACTCTACGAAGAATCCATCTTCACCACTGTCGGCGGCCACCAGTTCCACGTGCCGCGCAACCTGTTCACCGACCCGGGCAACTCGCCCAACTACTTCACCCTCGGCTTCGCCGTCCTCTTCTCCAGCCCGGACGATCTCTTCCCGGGGCTCGACCGCGAAGGCCTCCTCCGTCCGCCATCCATCCAGCCCCCTTCTGTCCCCGGCCGCAGCGCCGAGACGTTTGCCGAGCTGCTGCATTTGCTGAAAGGCTATCCGGTCAATATCCGAAGCGAGGCACACCGTGCCGAGCTCCTGCGTGACTGTCGCTATTTCAACTTCAAGGGCCTGGAGCAGAAGCTCATCCCGCACGCGATATCGTTTAATCTCGCCCGGGGCAGGGACGAGATCGTGTTGAGGCTGAGGGATGTCCTGAAGAGCGGGATCAGCGTGGCCAGCGAGCCCACGCCCGCGGATCCCTTCGCCGGGTGGGTGCATTATGCGAGGCCGTATGTGGATGAGAAAGCGTATGAGCTTGTGTTGGAGATTGGAGAGGAGACTACCCGGCTGCGGTTTACATCTAGCCTTGACATGGCTGGAAATGGGGGAATGGTGAACCCCAGAGCGGAGTTTTTCGGAGAGACGCGGTCACGTATTGCCAAGCTGTTGGAGATTGTTGCGACGAAACTCAACTTGCCGCCTACGATACAGCCGATTCCGGGATTTGCGCTGACGCACGGTGAGGTGAGCAACGCCTCGCCTACCCCCGGGAATACGCCCCTCAGCGAAGATTGGGTGAAGGTGGTCCTGGACCCAGATGCGAGTGTCGTACTGAATGGGAAGCCATGGAATCCAGCTTCCGAGGGAGAGCAGTCGCCGTTTGAGCACCAGGCATCGGTGAGGGGAACAGAGCTGGCGCCAAGGAAGAGAAGGAGGGTAGACGAACCAGGCAGCGAGCCAGAAGAGTGGATTATCAGGACAGGGCATTGGCGTGTGAGGATTCAGGGGGCCAGCAATGGCAAAGCGACGGTCGAGTGTTGTTTGGTAGCCGTCAAGTTGGATGCGTTCACTTCGGAGCAGGCGAGAAATGCACAGAGGTCGTTTCTGGGGAGTTAGGACACTCTTTCCCGCAACGGGCATTGGTCCGGCCTTCTGTATTATTATTGATGGAATGTATACGGATACTGGTCGTTGGCTCGCTTGGTTGACACCTTACTCGGGTGTCCCAGGGCTCCAGCCAAAGAGACAGAACTGATACCTACTTTAAGTATCCAAAGATGCAGTGTCAATGTCTTGTACTTATCATCTGTTGCATCGCATCGGTCCAAACACTCAAGTTAGTTTCTATCAACGGTTGATGGAGCCCTCTTTACGGTCCGTGGCTGCTTGTTCTCGACATTGTGAGGCGTTCACCCAGGAGAGAGCGGAACATCCCACTCGGGAAGTGCCCAGAGGGGCTCAAATTGGGATTGGCAAATGAAGCAATCCCCCGGCCGAGTAAGGAGCCCCTTTTGCTTTTCCTCCTCTAGCGACCGGCCACCATCCCTCGGCATGGCTTCTGTGGTGAAATCTCCACAGTAGTTTTTCTGTGAATCTGATGCTTACCCACGCCTAAGCTCGAGAGCGGGAGGGTGATTCCTTGCCATTCCAGCTTTGTCCCAATCAGGTAGTGATTGAGGTGTGATTAGACTCTTGTGGCAGGGAAACAGGGGCCGAGAATGGCGCACGGACCAGAAGCGCCCTCGCGTTCAGCAAGCTGATAAAGCGCGGTGGAGCGCTTGCCTGAATCGGCAACGCTACTGTCAACAATCAAATTTCCCCACCACTGCACCCAAGTCGACCCAAGGCTTCCGTTAAACCTCAATTTTCCACTCTCCGCAAGTTGCCCTCCAGTCGCCTTCTTGATCTGCTCACTCCATCCTTTAGCAACTTGCACGTATAGTTCACACTTCCACCAAGATGCGCGAGATTATCAGCTTGAACGGTACGTTCAGAGCAAATACAGCTAATCTTTCCTCCCACGTGGCGCGCTCCTGGCCTCACCGCATCCCGCCGAGGCCGGGTATCCTAACGCAGACATGCAACCCGGGCCCGTCCGTGCTTGGAATCTTTGGTAACATGCTGACATCAGTTACTTACAGTCGGCCAGGCCGGTTGCCAAATCGCCAACTCATGCTGGGAGGTATGCTTGTATCCTGCGGCGCCCGCGCGGCCCCGATGTGCTCGCGACTTAACGTAGTCGTTGCTGGTGCCGGTTGATGCTGACCTGCTGTAGCTTTACTGCCTTGAGCATGGCATTCAGGTATGCTCATGTTCCCTTCCATCGCCCTTCTTTGTCTCCTTCTCCAGTGCTGTTTGCTAACCGCTATTTCAGCCCGATGGCTACCTCACTGAGGAGCGCAAGCAGGCTGACCCTGACCACGGCTTCAGCACCTTCTTCTCAGAGACAGGTATGGCGAAGAACTTTGCTTGGCTTGGGACGCAGATATCTGACTGATGCTCACGATAGGCAACGGGAAGTACGTTCCGCGGACCATCTACTGCGATCTCGAGCCCAATGTCGTCGACGAGGTCCGCACCGGCGCCTACCGTGGCCTTTTCCACCCCGAACACATGATTACCGGCAAGGAGGATGCGTCTAACAACTACGCCCGTGGCCACTACACGGTCGGCAAGGAGCTGATCGACCAGGTCCTCGACAAGGTTCGCCGTGTCGCCGACAACTGCAGCGGCCTGCAGGGCTTCCTCGTGTTCCACTCCTTTGGCGGCGGCACTGGTTCCGGCTTTGGCGCTCTGCTCATGGAGCGCCTTTCGGTTGACTACGGCAAGAAGAGCAAGCTCGAGTTCTGTGTTTATCCCGCTCCTCAGACCGCTACCTCGGTCGTCGAGCCTTACAACTCGATTCTGACGACTCACACCACCCTTGAGCACGCCGACTGCTCCTTCATGGTCGACAACGAGGCCATCTACGACATCTGCCGTCGTAACCTTGGGCTTGAGCGCCCGAATTACGAGAACCTTAACCGCCTGATTGCTCAGGGTAAGACTGAACCGGTTGCTCATATGCTGTGATATGGCGCTGATTTGCTTTTAGTCGTTTCCTCCATTACTGCTTCCCTCCGCTTTGATGGTTCGCTCAACGTCGATCTTAATGAGTTCCAGACCAACCTGGTCCCCTACCCGCGTATACACTTCCCGCTCGTTGCTTACGCCCCGGTCATCTCTGCCGCCAAGGCCGCCCATGAGGCCAACTCCGTTCAGGAGATGACCATGTCCTGCTTCGAGCCCAACAACCAGATGGTCAAGTGCGATCCCCGTCACGGGAAGTACATGGCCACCTGCCTGCTGTACCGGGGTGACGTCGTGCCCAACGATGCCCACGCCGCTGTGGCTACCCTCAAGACGAAGCGGACTATTCAGTTCGTTGACTGGTGCCCGACTGGCTTCAAGCTCGGTATCTGCTACCAGCCTCCCCACCAGGTGCCCAACGGCGACCTGGCCAAGGTCAACCGCGCTGTGTAAGTCGTCCACATTCTGCTGTCCGATCCTGATTCATCGCTAATCCATGGTTAGCTGCATGCTCTCCAACACCACCGCCATCGCCGAGGCTTGGTCGGCTCTGTCGTCCAAGTTCGATCTCATGTACTCCAAGCGCGCCTTCGTACACTGGTACGTTGGTGAGGGTATGGAAGAAGGCGAGTTCTCCGAGGCCCGTGAGGATCTTGCGGCGCTGGAGCGTGACTACGAGGAGGTCGCGGCCGACTCGATGGAGGGTGAGGAGGTCGAAGCCGAGTACTAGGCTGGCTGTGTTGTAGCCTGGTGAGGATTGTGTCACACCTTTAATGGCCCGATCCTTGGTGGACGTTCCGACCACACTAAGCCTTTCC